AAAAAAAAAATCACCAGTCTAAGACACATCAGTATCACATACTCCCTGGTGGTGAACTGAGAACTCACCAGAAATGCCTGATTTTTAGCTCGTCCTAAAACAAATTATGCAGAATTACAGGCTTAACAGTATCAAGACACTGACAGGTTGGAAGAAACTAAGGAGACATGACAACTAGATGCCTGATAGCTGTGGTTCTCAACCTGTGGGTTGCGACCCACAGAAACTGTATTAAAGGGCTGCAGCATTAGGAAGATTGAGAACCGCTGCCTTATAGGATCCTGGACCAGAAAAATAACATTAGTCGAAAACCTGGTAAAATCCAAATAAAGGCTGTGGTTCAGTTAGTACATTGGAACACTGTTAATCGTTTGGTTAAATACTCTAAGGTAGCATAAGATGTTATGTTAAGAGAAGGATATAGGAACTCTACTATTTTTGCTACTTTTAAAAGGACTAACATTTTTAAATAGAAGTGGTTTTGCTTTTTTAAAGAGTATGTATGACCTTTGGAGTCAGGCAGAATGCACTGGGCCTTGAGCTCCCTACTTAACTGCTTTTCAACCTTGAGCAAATTAGTTCAATTCCTCAAGCCTCAGGTTCCTCCTTTACAGAGGAAATAAACATAGGATGGTTGTGAAAATTAAAGGAGATAAGTTTAAAGAACTTATTGTTAGGTACGGCGCCTGTGGCTCAAGGCGGCTAAGGTGCCAGCCACATACACCTTAGCTGGCAGGTTCATTGCCAGCCCGGACCTGTCAAACAACAATGATGGCTGCAACCAAAAAATAGCTGAGCACTGTGACAGGTGTCTATGGTTCCAGCTACTTGGGAGGCTGAAGCAGAATTGCTGGAGCCCAGGAGTTGGACATTGGTGTGAGCTGTGATGCATGGCACTCTACCCAAGGCAACAGCTTGAGGCTCTGTCCCCAAAAAAGAAGAACTTAATGTTAGATGCATGATAAATGGCTTGATAAATTTAGCTATTGTTGGCTCGGTGCCAGCCATATACAGGTGGCAGGTTTGAACCTGGCCTAGGCCAGCTAAACAATGAAAACTGCAACAACAACAAAAATAGCCAGGCATTGCGGTGAGTGCCTATAGTGCAAACTACTTGGGAGACTGAGTCAAGAGCCCAAGAGTTTGAGGTTGCTGTGAGCTATGATGCCAAGGTACTCTACTGAGGGCAACATAGTGAGACTCTGACTCAAAAAAAAAAAAAAAATTTTTTTTTAGCTATTGGTCACTTTGTCTTTTTCAATTTGTTTTTTTTTGGTGCCTTTCATGTTCCTCAGATGTCTGACACTTTTTGTTCATATTGAAGAGCTGTTTGAAAGTTGTTTGCATAATAGGGCTTTTAGACTGGTGAGTTTGACTCTAGGTGCCTAGCAAGTCAGTCTGTATTATGAACCCTAAATGACACTAAGGTGTTTTTCCTAGGGCAAATCAGAATACCTCCAGCCTGTCAGGTATGAGCCCATCTCCCAGCATTCTAGGGCTGAGTGGGAGAAAGCTGGAGACTTCCCTATATGGAGACTACATTTCAGTTCTGCCCTCCTTTATGACTAATTCCTGCCCAGAGCTTTCTGATCCAGCTATTCACATGATCTTCCTCCTTTCACTCAGACTCTGTAGGTACTAGAGCTCCAACAATCAATCTGTTTTCAGTTTTTTTCCTATCAATCCTTGTGCCTTTCCTACCACTCTGTTCTGCTTTCCAGGAGGTCTCCAGCTTTCCAAGATTTGTAAAAGGAAACAGCTTGCTTCCCACCAGCATCTGCTTTTCAGACACTGAGCTGTGGCTCTTTTCCTCTAGTGTGCTAAGCCATTTTGCCTTCTTCCATCCACTTTCCATCCTCATGGAATGTGATTTGGGCCATAGAGGTTCTCTACTGGTGTCAAAGATGAACATTGCTCATGCCTGTAATCCTAGCACTCTGGGAGGCTGAGGGGGGTGGATTGCCTGAGCTCATAGATTGGAGACCAGCCTGAGCAAGAGCAAGACCCCGTCTCTAAAAATAGCTGGGTGTTGGGATAGGCCCCTATAGTCCCAGCTACTTAGGAGGCTGAGGCAAGAGAATCACTTGAGCCCAAGAATTTGAGGTTGCTGTGAGCTATGATGCCATGGCACTCTGCTGAGAGCAAAAAGTGAGACTCTGTCTCAAAAAAAGACTGACTGACTTTTTTTTTTTTTTTTTTTTGAGTCAGAGTCTCAAGCTGTCACTCTGGGTAGAGTACCATGGCATTATAGCTCACAGCAACCTCATACTCTTGGGATTAAGCGATTCTCTTGCCTCAGCCTCCCAAGTAGCTGGCCTGAGCTGGGTTCAAACCCACCAGCCTCGGTGTATGTGGCCGGCGCTGTACTAAGCTACAAGCACCCCCAAAATGTAATTTCTTGGAGAAGAGAAAGCAAAGAGACCTTTACTCTGCCATCTCAGAATCTGTATTTTTAACTACTATTTATTTGTCTCCCATTGAAAGATGCATTTAAGTAGTTCACAGAGTAGGAGCCTTTTTGTTTTTCTATTAATTTGGTTGAATTTTCTTTTTTTTTTTTTTCTTTCTTTGCCTTCTTAATCATTCTAGTCAGAGCTCAGCTGCATGGAAGGCAGCTGCACATGCTCATTCCCAACCAGCGAACTGGAGAAGGTGCTTCCCCAGACCATCCTTTATAAATACTATGAGCGAAAAGCTGAGGAAGAAGTTGCTGCAGCCTACGCTGATGAGCTTGTCAGGTTAGTTCTCAGAGTCAAAGGATGTCATCTGTCAACTCATTCCCCATTTGAAGACTGCCACAGCACTCTCATCAGATAATGGAAATTTGGAACAAAGCTGTATCTTCCAGACTTGTTTGGCATTTCTTGCTGAAAAATATAATAATCCATTAGTTTTACTAGTAGAAAAATCTGCATCTCAAATTTTCATCTGCATTCCTCGGCACCTCCTAATCTTCTGGCCCGTAGATACAATCACTGTGTCCTGGGTTAGAAGAAAAATGGCATATGTAAGGAGTTCTCATTAAAGTTAAGATGCATTTATTGAAAGAGGACCTAGAATGGTACGTAAGTTTCCTAGTAAGAGCCAGCACAAAAAGCTCAATCCCTGTCTTAATGAAAATTAAGGAGTAAAAAGCAATGTGGCTGTCCAGCTCAAACTGCTATCTTAGTATGAACCAAATCAGTCTTTAATATTTCAAATAATGTTACTTCTACTGTTCTGGTTCTAGGTGCCCCTCCTGTAGCTTTCCTGCACTGTTGGACAGTGATGTGAAGAGGTTCAGTTGTCCTAATCCTCGCTGCCGAAAGGTAGGGAGACAAATTTTTCTACATATGTATTTGAATTACGGTATTGTGTGCTACTCTGATGGGCCAAATATCTGCTGTTTATCTGCTTGCTGATACTTGAGAAGGATTTAAGTACTCTCTTTTTTCAAAAGCAAATGAAGGTTGGTACTTTGTGAATGAATGATGGTTGACATGGTTACAGAAATGGGGACCACTTGTGGAATTCCAGCTACAAAGCTCTGGATTCCTGTTTTATGTCATATTCTTGTAAGGATAGATGTTGTAATGTAAAATGTGCAGGGTTTTGTTTCTTGCACTGTCATCATTTTTCTTGCTTGCTCTTTTCCCTACCCTGTGCTCAAGTATACCCCCAACACACAGACTTTTCAAAGTCCAAGCAGTATTGCTTTGATTAAAGAACTGGGTATCATGGTGGCATCTCTATCACATCTAGTAGGTTATTTAATTGTTTGTCTCATAAGAACTAACTATATCGAGTGAGACCAGAGCCATCTAGGTACCTCACTGCTGCAAATCTTTCTTCTCTTTAACTAGGCTCCTACTTTGTGAACTAAGAATGTCTTAAATTTTCTCAACTATGTATATCACTTAGAGTTTTTAGGGAATATTAACATCCATCTAGAACATTTTAATACATTTTTCTAAAACTGTGTGATTAGAGTTGAACATTGCAGTAGCTTTGCCTGCGGAAAGTGAAGAAAGTAAGGTAGAATTTGGAGAAGGAAGTAGAAACTAATGGACCAAAACTTTATTCTTCTTGTTTTCAACTTTAACGTTTCTACGTGAAATCTGGATGTATTCTTAAAGCTGATTAGCCATTTAATTTGTCCACACCCCAGGCTATGGCTCTAAAAGTTGTCATAGCAGCCTCTGGCACTTGAAACTAAGAAAACAGTAACAGACTATCCCTTGTGTGCTTCCAGTATATCAGGTGCTGGAATGCCTGGGAATGTAATGCCTGAGCTAAGATACAGAGAACAAGGGGGAAGTAGCCAAGGGAAGGAAAGAGTAAGGGCAGAGTGAAGATGGAGAAATGTTCTTGGCCCAAGAAGTAGCAGCAGCCTGGTTACTTACTGGTACCAGAAGTGTCAAGGAGGTTTATAAGCTGGGTAGGAGCAGGGCCATGCAGCATTATGGGGTGGGGGGAGAGGTAAAATGTTAGTAAGTTATGTTTGGCTATCAAGTAGTCCGTGTGAGGAATGTACATCACTGCTATCTCCTCTGGAGTCTCTATGAATTGCAAAAAAAGAGCTAGGGACTACATTTCTTGGTATGGTTCCAAATTGAGCCTGCCAGTTAAAGTGTACGTTTAGAATGTTAATGAAGAAAATGATGAGAGTAATTTTGGAAGAGAGATTTTATTTCTCATAAAAGGTGTGGCCATTCCAATAGGCTGAGAAGCAGAGCCACAACCTGAAGCCAGAACACATTCTTCAAGGCCAGGATAAGGGGAACAGGGATTTACTCTGAGCAGGATGGCCAAATATATATACATAACAAGCTATAGGAAGAATCATGAGTATTTATGAAAGGAGAAATATGTATATGCAGTTAAGGTTTGTATCCCTTTATTGGGTCCATGTTCAGAAAATGGCAGCCCTCTTATGTCAAAAGGTGAAGCAAGGACACAAAAACCCTCTCCGTGTATATTCTACAGACTGGTTAAAACCACTCCCTGGTTATCAGTCTGGATCACAAGATTGGTTTCTATTTAGCTATTAGAGGGAAAGCCTGATGGCCATAAGCAAGGTATAATGAGGATGTCTGACCTCCATCTCATCATGGCTGGGAACTCAGAGTTTTCTATGGAGTTCACTTGCCCAAGAAGAGGATCCATTCAGCTAGTAAGGGCCTTAGAATTTTATTTTAGTTAACAAAAGCCATAACAGAGAAGGAGGGTCTGTTATTCTCTGAAGATATTTAAAAGCAGTCTGAGGATACACCTAAGTCTGAAATAGCCTCCATTGTGTATATTGAGAACTTCAACTTCGGATGTTACCAAAAGCTTCCCAGAGGCTCTTAAGATCTCAGGCAGGAACTTTGTGTCTGTGGGAGTTCATATATGAACTTAGAAGTAGCCATGAAGTTTCTTTCTTTTTTTTTTTTTTCTTTGTAGAGACAGGGTCTCACTTTATTGCCCTCAGTAGAGTGCTGTGGCGTCGCAGCTCACATCAACCTCCAACTCCTGGGCCTAGGCGATTCTCTTGCCTCAGCCTCCCGAGTAGCTGGACTACAGGCACCCACCACAACGCCCAGCTATTTGTTTTGTGGCAGTTTGGCCAGGGCCAGGTTTGAACCCGCCACCCTCGGTATATGGGGCTGGTGCCCTACTCACTGAGCCACAGGTGCCGCCCAAGCCATGAAGTTTCATTTAGCCAATGATATGTAAATGTGAGTAAATAGGACACTTGCAGAAAAAAACATATACTCATATGGTTCTGGTACTATCAGTAAGATGGCAGAATAGGGAGCTCCAGCACTTCCTCCTTCCATGGAGTATTTCTCTGTGAGAAATCCAGAAACCAGTTAAGAGGCTCCTGCACCCTATGTGAGCACAAAACCAGTTGCACCAAAGCCAATAGAAGAATTAATGATACTTGCTTTCAGAGCTCCTCCCCTGGCACAGCACAGTTGATTAGGAGGAAACTGCCAATTCCTAACATCTCCCTGGGGAGGGAAAAAGAAGATTGTAACATACATCTAACACTGAGATTTTTCAGGGCACTATCCAAGGGACCTGTTACTGACCTATCTGACCCGTGGATAGGGTGCCACACTGGGGGCCACTGAGAACAAATGCTATGGTGAAACTAGCATGAACTAACTCGCCATTGCCCTGTCCAAGCTCAGAACAAATAGGAGAAAATTCCCACCTCCTTGCTTTTCCCCAGGGAGGGGAAAAGTTGGACCATGAGTCCAGCATTCTAGATTTTCAAGAACCTATCTAAGACTCCGGTTTCTGTTTTACCTGAGTCACAGTGCTAATGAGACTTGGCATGTTCTAAATGTCTGGGGGCTGCCAAGAACAAAAGAAAGCTGGGTAGATTGTGCTGCTCCACAGGACCTGTGGTATAGTAGACACAGCCCAGTACATCTCAAAGACTTCTCAGGGAGGAAAGGAAGATGAGAATATGTGTCTACCATATTGGCTTCTAAAAGGGCTGCCCAAGGGCCTGGTTTCTTTATCACCCAACTCACAACGCTGACAGAACCCAATGTACTCTAGATGTCTGGGAGCTGCTGAAAGGAAAAAAAGAGCTTGGCAACTTAACAGCAGCTCCAGAGAGCCTGCAGTACCTCAGACAGACAGAAGGAAAAACGAGATTACAAGTTCTTTTAAAAAACAAAAAACAAACTTCTCAAACCCTCTCTAATTGAGAGTTTATAGGCACAAACTCAAAGAAGATATATACACTGAAGAGGTTTAAGAGGCCACCAGAATCTCTCAGGCTGATGGGTAAATTAGCCAGGCATGATGATGTACACCTGTACCAAACCATTCTGTAAAGACTGGGAAATGTAGATATTTTTTCAAATGTACAAATAAGAACACAAAGTAAGAAGGCACACAAAGAAACAAGGAAACAGGCTCGGCGCCTGTGGCTCAAGTGGCTAAGGCGCCAGCCACATACACCTAAGGTGGCAGGTTCGAATCCAGCCCAGCCCACCAAACAACAATGATGGCGGCAACCAAAAAATAGCCAGGCGTTGTGGTGGGCGCCTGTGGTCCCAGCTACTTGGGAGGCTGAGACAGGAGACTCGCTTGAGCCCAGGAGTGGGAGGTTGCTGTGAGCTGTGATGCCACAGCACTCTACCCAGGGCAACAGCTTGAGACTCTGTCTCAAAAAAGAATTTAAAAAAAAATACCTGTTTTAATACATATTAGAATATATTTAGCAGGCTTGGCACCTGTGGCTCCAGTGGCTAAGGCGCCAGCCACATACACCTAAGGTGGTGGGTTCAAATCCAGCCCAGGCCGGCCAAAACAACAATGACAGCTGCAACCAAAAAATAGCTGGGCATCATGGCGGGTGCCTGTGGTTCCAGCAACTTGGGAGGCTGAGGCAGGAGACTCACTTGAGCCCAGGAGTTGGAGGTTGCTGTGAGCTGTGATGCCACAGCACTCTACCCAGGGCCACATCTTGAGGCTCTGTCTCAAAAAAAGAGGGAACTTATGGAAAGGAATTGAAATCCTTCAAGAAAGGCTCTCAAAAAACATGTGTCTGTGTTTATTGTAGCTTTATTTACAGTAGCCATGAGATGGAAACAACTTAAATCTTCATCAGTAGATCAGGGATTAAAATGTGGTATATATGTAATAGGATATTATTAAGCCTTAGAAAAGGAGATCCTGGCATACAGCAACACAGATGAACCTTGCTTGACAGTGTGTTAAATGAAAGACAAATACTGCAAGATTCACTTACATGCAGTATTTAAAGTAGTCAAACTCAGGAAAGTCAAAAGTAGAATGATAGTTACTAGGGCCTGGGAGAAGGGGGAAATAGGGAGTCACTGTGCAATGGCTAACTTCAGTCACTCAGGATGAAAAAGTTCAGGCAATCTATTGTATAGCATTTTGCTTATGGGTTAACAATATTGTACATTTGGGGGGTTTGCAGGTTTTTTTTTTTTGGAGACAGAGTCTCAAGCTGTAGAGTGCCATGGCATCACAGCAACCTCCAACTCCTGAGTTTAAACAGTTCTCTTGCCTCAGCCTTCCAAGTAGCTGGGACTACAGGTGCCCACCACAATGCCCAGCTATTTTTTGGTTGTAGTTGTCATTGTTGTTTGGCAGGCCCGGCTGGATTCTAACCCACCAGCTCTGGTGTATGTGGCTGTCACCTTAGCCACCTGAGCGATAGGCACCGAGCCAGTATTGTACATTTGTTAATAAAATTTGTTACATGTTTTTTAACCACAATTATTTTTATAAGTGCATATGGCTCATTTTCTTTTCCCTCTTCTAAGATGGACATGCAACATGAATGAGAAATAAG